AATGCAGTTTCATGTAATCCCTGTGAAGAGTGCATATGCCCACCAGCCAATGGGTCCTTGTTCCGTTCTTGTCCAGGACCTTGGGCGAGGGACACTGGAAGGGATCAAGGGTTATGGGCCCTGAGCCAAGGAAGGAGGCATGGTACACATTGCTGGAAGTCTCTCCCTAGGCACAGCCAGAAGCCAAAACTACTCCCAGGAAAATTCTGAATGCAAAAATTGTAAATTTTTGAATTTCTTTCATATGTAATTGTTTACTGAAGATACTTAATTATTAAAGGTGCTGTGGTGGGACCTTCAGGATGACTTAAAAGGGTTCTTTGCTGGGAGTCGAGTGACCGAGCAGACGTGGCCACAGGGAGTTGTTTTGCATCTGCTTTACCTCTCAGGACCATTCTTAGGAGGAGGTGGTGGCAGGGAATGCAGCACTGAGTATGTCAGAAGAACTCTCCTGGTTTTTTAGTGATTCGAACCCAGTAGACAATGTGTGCTTATAGGGAATGTCCTTTAAGAATCATGGATTTCTTGTGGGCTCTCTCAGTTCTAATAATTTTTTGACTATCACACCAGGAGAAAACCAACAACTCTATTTGTTCCCAAACAAAATCTCTTTCCCCTTAGTCAATAACTTGTGAATGAGATGTTAACTCACCCTTGCAGATAAGTGAAACAAATAAATAGCATTGTATTCCTGGCCAGTAGCCTGGCTAGTTGATGTCTGCAAGAGAGCATCAGAATCATTACTTCTTATGTAATTTCTTCTGGCCAGTGCTTTTTTGTTTGTTTTTTGTTTACTGGGGATACACAGGAGTCTTTCTGTAATGATTTAAGCGGTAAAATGTTTGAGAGTTTGCACGCAATTTTAAAGAATTTGCAGTTCTGTACCAGGTGAAGAACAGCTATAGGATGTAAAGTTTCATTACAGCTTACTGTGAAAGAATTGACAAGCCTGGCCATCCGCCTCGCTGGAGACAAGAGGATTACATCTCAGGCCAGCAAGGTCAGCTGCATGAAGCTCTGTATACGAGCACTGCACTGACAGTTGGGAGACCTGGGCCTGGGTTCTGACTCTTCCACTGACGAAGCTCTGTGGCCTTGGGCAAGTCAGTCCCCCTCTTTGAGCTTCAGTATCCTCCTGTCACAGGAAGGAGTTGGGCTAGATCATCTTTAAGGTAGGTTCTAGCTTTGGCATCATCTTGGGGGGTAGGCCAGAGGCTGGGAATGCTGGGTGGACTTTGTCAGTTGCTCTGCCAAAAGGGAACACGCCCAGAGGTTGAAGCTTCCCAGTATTTAGAGGCGTGGTGGGGCAGTGTCTGCGTTAAAGTTTATTCTTTAAGTGGCTAGGAGGGCTGGGGAGGCCCAGTGGTGCAGGGAGAGAGAGAGATCAAGCTTGATGTATTGCTCAGTATTCACCTAGAAGGGTTTCTTCCTTCTTTGGCCTAGTTTGTGAAGGGATCTTCCTTTGGACTTTCTTGGGAGAACATTCTTTCCGACGGAGCCCATCTTCTGTCTCTAGGCTCTGTGAAGCCTTTCATCTATCTATCTTTCATCCTTATTGGTAGAAGAAACAGTGGAGAGAAGCTATTTCTGGTTGTAGCACTTCTCTTTTGTCTAGATGGGGTTTGGATTCAGTATGACGCTTTGGCTGAAACCCTTGGGTTGCCTTAGAGCACTGACACTAAGAACGTGGCATGACGTGGGGAGGACCAAGAGAGCTGGAGAGGAATGCTTTGTGAGAAGTGGATTCTCTCTGTGTCCCTGCCCCCCACCCAAACTTGAACTATACCTATTACAGTTCCAGGATGAGGTCCTGGAGAAAGGACTAGGGGCGGTATCTTTCTGGGTGCTTGTCGTCCCAGAATGGTACTTTCTGTGCCATACCATCCTACTTCTTTAAGCTCTGCAGGGCAGCCAAAGCCAGTCCTTCTCTCCTACTGCCCTCAGGAGAAATAGCAATCTTCTCCCTTCCCCCAGATGGCAGGGCTCTGCTCTCCCTACACCTCATACCCTGCTTGCTTCTCCAGGAGGAATCTCCAGGGACCCGTCCTGACTCTCCCCATCCTCACCACTTGTCTCTAGGCTATGGGACAATCATCCCATTCACTGCTTGACTCCTTGACTTTTATTCCCCCAACCTCCAACATGTTGGCCCCAATCCCCTCCACCTCTGTGTTTTCTTCCAGAAGATGCATTTTGGGTCTGAGAGGAGCATTTTCTTGGAAGGCCATCTTTTAAGGTCCCTGCTCGCTTCCATGGTGCAGAGCAGGGATTTGCACACGGTTTTGAGAGCTCGCTTCCCACCTCTCTGCCCAGCCTTGTTACCTCAATTCTGCTCTGGTCATGGCTGTGAAGGGCCCAGCCAGCTCCCTGTTTTGATGTTCTGTGCGACAGCTCTGGGGTCTTGTGACTTGAGATCCTCAGCAGGCCTCGGGGCCCAGACTGGAGTCTTGGCTGCTGATGAGCAGCACCTTGCCTGCCAAGAGGAGCTGATGCTGGATGATCTCCCCAACTTCTGAAGGCTTAAAGAACATTGTCATTTCTTAGCCCTCCTTGCTTCTCTCAGTACAATAAGACATTGCAGAAGCAAAATGGTGGCCTCTGCTCCAGGCAAGGCAGCTGGCTCTGTCTGGTGCATCGGCCTGGGGCTTGGGTGCCATGTGCCGAGATTGCATAGTCAAAGCAGTCATTTTTGCCAACAATCGCCTGTGGCTCCCCACATTTTCCTCCCCTGCACTCAAGGGCCAGACTACTCTCCGCATGGACCAGACCATCTTCCCAAACCCATGGTGCTTTTCCCTCAACTCAACCTAGACTCCAGGTGGGGAGGGATGGGTCAGAGGCCATAGTGGCCCCTAGATAATCCTGACATGGGGTGGAGTGGGGTGAGGCAGAGGGCGCAGCGCCAGCACCTGCACTGGGCCATATATGGGAAAGAACGCAGGTCGACTGAAGTTGAGTTGTCTGCCCGTGTGTATTTGGATCTATAACTGTACTTTGCCTGGCGCTGTGCGCAAGGTCGGAACACTTACTGCTAGTACCTAGAAATACACAAGGCTGCCCAGCCAAATCTTAATGTAAAGTAGCTAGAGCCATGGAAGTACAGTATGAATTAAAAAGAAAAAGTATTGAACTACAAAAATAAATGGTGTGCGTGTTTATTGCTTGATTTATGAGTGCTCATCACCTGGGATGTTTCTGGTCGACCCAGATAGGCTCACAGCAAGACCTGAGGGCATGTGTGTAGGTATGCTTGCATACACACACACACACACACACACACACACACACAGTTGCACATAGCCATTCACCTTCTCACGGGACACAGGGCTACCTGATCAACTGGAATGGATAAGTTTTAGAGGCAGACCTGAGTCTACCAATTGCGTGACCTTATGCCTCATCTATCACTCCAAGTCTCAGTGTTTCAGAGATAATGCTCTTAAAAAACACATAGTTCTTAGTATGGCAGCTGGTATACTAAAATATACATAAATACATATATATAAATATAAATAGATTTTTATATATATGTATATATATATTTGAGACGGTCTCACTGTCACCCAGGCTTCAGCCTTGATCTCCTGAGCTCAAGTGTGCCTTCCACCTCAGCCCCCCAAATAATTGGGGATACAGGCACACACCACGATGCCAGGCTTTTTCTTTTTCTTTCTTTTTTTTTTTAGAGATGGGGTCTCACTATGTTGCCCAGGCTTGTCTCAGACTCTTGGCCTCAAGTGATCCTTCCGTCTCAGCCTACCAAAGTGTTGGGATGATTTTTAATCTTATGAGTCAGCACTACTGTTGCAGGAGACTGTGGTGGACTGTGAATCCCGATGACGGTTTCTTGTTGAACGTTTCCCTCTTCGGGCCTTAACACTTCTAGGAAGATGGATGTTGAGAGACTGCTTTGCCTTCTTCTTTCATGTTACCTAAACTGGTGGAGCTGAGAGCCAGGTTGGCTCTTCCCTTCATTAGGTCTGCCTTGGCCTTGCAAGGAGCTCCTCGCCACCTGGTTAGGAAATTTATTTAATGCCAGGCAAGAAAGCAAGTGACTCTTGTATTCCTTCGTATTGGGTAGAGGAGGAAAGGGAAGCGGAGAGGCTAGATCACACATTTAGTGTGTGTTTACTGTGAGGCTATTACATGATTTTCATCCTCATGCATATCCACAGATTGGGTACGGGAATTTGAAGCAGGCTGAGGGGCTGGGGGAAGCCATATTCTATGGGGCAAACACACTTAGTAAGTAGGGCAAAACCAAAGAGAGTGATTTTTACGGATACTTTATTGACATGAACAAGGAGTTTACTGAAAAACACCACATACAGGCATTACATTATTGAGGGCTTAGATGGTCAGGAACATTTCTCGAGTTTGGAAAAAGATTGGCTGTGGAAGATCAAGAAAACGCAATATGAAGATGATAACATGGAAAATAGTTCCATCTGTTGCAAGACTAAGAGTTTGCAGATTGTGTTCGATGGGGGTTCACAAGCCTGGAAGCACTCAGCCTTCTGCGGCCTCCCTCGCCATCACACACACTGCCCAGCAGAGGACGCTCTTGCCAAGCAGTGACACAGGGAGGAAGCACAGAGCACTACTGGCTCTGAGGGTTAGCTGGCCTGGGATGGAGGCGAGTTTGATATATAAATCAGACTTGCTTGGAAGTGCTTATCTCCTGTGTCCTGCTGCAAACTCAACTAAGGGGGAGGAATTGGGCTGAGCTAATCATGAGCTGTCCACCAGCTGAGATCTTAGAGGTTAAGTAAGGTTTGGATGATGCTGTTTTTCACATCTATGACCGCATGGCACACTAACGGTCTAGACTAGCACTTGACAGAGTGGGTGCTAAAAGATGTTCGTACAGCAAGTGGACGACCAGGTTGGCAAGCACGCCGAGAACTATTCAGATACATTTGCAGTGACTAGGTGAATTCACTGGATTGGGGATTTTTCATTACAAAACGAGGTGAGAGGAAGGATTCTTTTTTTGTTTCCATTTTCATGTTAAACTGGGAAAGGGGAAACTAAGATATATTCTGAAGTGTGTCTAGCTCTTGCTTCTCCTTCTTCCTACAAAGATGCAATTGCACAGCCTTTTCCCTCTGAGATGGGTAGAATTTCTTTCTTGATCCAGTAATTTTGGGAGGAGAGGGGGAAGCTGCTGTCTCTTAACCATGCACTGCTCTACACACTTCACAGCATATTCTTGCTTTGAAAAGTAACTTTCCTAGTAATATTTCTAGTTGGATATCTAAGGAGAAACCTGAAACTCGGAAGGGAGTCTGGGTGTTTGGGTGTTTGGGAATGGAGAAACTAAAGGAGCTTGCTGTTAAACAAAGGGTGAGAATAAAGGCTGGGGTAGGGACAGGCACGGAGTGTTTGGGGTTGGGGCTCTGATACAAGAATGAGGTGACAGTGAGGGTCAGCAGGGAAAGGTGCTCTCAGGGCCAACTGGATCGAGCAATCACATTCATGGCTGTGAAGCAGTAAGAAAGGGAAAATCGGACTGAGCCAATCTTGGCCTTTAGTGAATTGTGTTACTGAGGATGAATCATGGGAAATATCCAGCACCAAGACAACAGATGGGGTTTCTAAAGTGGTAATAATAGCCCTTGAGAACTCTTCTAAGCCCTTTAACAAGCAACACCATGCCAGATAAAGCTTCCAGAGAAACACATATCTAGTCTGGGTCTTTTGTAGGATTACGGGAAGAGACGGGGAGGTGGGTGGAGATTGGAAGTAGGCTGGTGATCACAGTACCTTGTAGATTTATAGTCATGATCAAGTCTCCCAGGAGGGAGTTTAATTGCAATTCAGGAGAAATGATGTACAAACCAACTAGAAAGAGAACCAAAGACTGACTCTCAAAACACATTGCTAGCATCCACCAAAAAGCAAAGTGGTAGAGAAGCAATGAGTGGGGTGAGGGTGAGAGAAGATGGAGAACATTAGGACAGGCAAGATAGGCAATGGTGAGATGGGAGCTAAAAAATAAGAAAAGGAAAGCTATGGTCTAACTGGAAGGAGAACTGAAAAAGGAGTCAGAAGATCTGGATTCTTGCTGTCTACCTACCAGTTAGGTTTCCTTATAATTTAGTAAAGCTACTTAAACTCAGAGAGCATCAGTTTCTTCTTTTGTAATGTAAGTATTGATAATATTGACTTCACAGGACCAGTTATAGAGAAGAAATAAAATAAGTGAATACTTTGTAAACTATATAATTCTAATGAAATTGTCAAGAATGAGAAGAGCAGAGAAGTTAGGAAAAGGAAGAGTAGGGAAGATAACCTGTCAAGGATAAATAAGTGATAGGTACCATTCAGCTTCATTAAAGTTCACGCAAGCAGCATCCGAGTTGGGTTTTTTAAAAAGAAGAGAAAAAGGCAATCATGCATACTGCCTGTTTAAACGTAGATACATAAGCTATTGGACCACAGAAGAAAATGGAGTGGTGGTAAGCATCTTGCCGGTACTGCAAGCTGTGGTATCTGTGAGCTATGGGACTGGAAAAAACTCACACTAACTCAGGTCAATTTTCCTAACTATAGTTAAAAACCGGCCTATATTCTCTCCCTTATTTCGGAGGGATGGTGTGGAAAATTACCAATAAGAGGCTTGAATTTATTGCAAATATTTTCTTCAACAAAATCAGACTCTCACATTAGTGTTAAGGGTCTGGTTTTGGGCTGGGCACAGTGGCTTATGTCTGTAATCCCAGCACTTTGGGAGGCTGAGGCTGGTGGATTGCTTGAGCCCAGGAGTTCAAGATCAGCCTGGGCAACATGGCAAGACCCCCATCTCTATAAAAAATACAAAAATTAGCCAAGTGTGGTGGTGTATGCCTGTAGTCCCAGTTACCTGGGGGGGCTGAGGTGGGAGGGTTGCTTAAACCTGGGGAAGTTGAGGCTGCAGTGAGCTGAGATTGTGCCACTGCACTCTAGCCTGGGAGACAGAGTGAGACTCTGTCTAAAAAAAAAGAAAAAAAAAAAAAAAAAGGCTAGTTTTAAGTACTTTCCTAGGGATGGAAGAATGGGGAAAAAATGAGCTTTTAAGGTAAAGCCCTAAACTAATGGAATATGGTCTTCCCCTACTAAGGGAGGTCCCAGGTCTGAAGGACCTCTCACTGAATCCCAGTCATCTTCATCTTCTTACATTCCGTAAAGCATCTTTCCCCTCTCTTGTCCCTAGGTGCTGAAGGATGTCATCCTTGGACCTGTCACTCCATTAAAATGAAACATGAGATACTGACTAAATTTTTTTCCAGTTTCTCTGCTCCCTCAAAATCTAGAGGAAAAATATCTGAAAATTATGCATTCATAGTTGAAGTATTTGGAAGCCACCTACCCATCCCTGCCTCTCACATCACTCATTCGCTTATCTTCCGTCTCAGACTAAACATTTTTCTTAGTTTAAATATCATTCTCAGGTGCACTCTCCTTCTGGAGAATATTTCAGACTCACAAATCTTTACATGAAGGAAGTTCTTTAAGTCTATCTCATGTTCTTCTCTCTGCTTTTTTGGCCAATTTCTAGTAACCTCAATCTACCAGAGTTGACCTCAGCCCAGTTTGTGCTTGTGAAAGAAGCATTGCCATAGACAAGTTCAATGTCAGAGTCTTCAAAAACAAAGTTATGCACTGGGTGCAGTGGCTCATGCCTGCAATCCCAGCACTTTGAGAGGTTGAGGTGGGTGGGTCATTTGAGGTCAGGAGTTTGAGACCAGCCTGGCCAATGTTGTGAAACCCCGTCTGTACCAAAAATACAAAATTTAGCCAGGCGTGGTGGTGTGTGCCTGTAATCCCAGCTACTTGAGAGGCTGAGGCACAAGAATCACTTGAACCCAAGAGGCAGAGGTGGCAGTGAGCCCAGATCACACCACTGCACTCTAGCCTAGGTTACAGGGCAAGACTCTGTCCCCTCCCCGCAAAAATAATCATCCCAGGAAGTGTAAACTGGGCAGCACCTAAGGCTTATTTCTGCTCCAGTTTATCCTCTTAAGCCTCTTACTCAATTGAGTCCTGTAGGAGTCTTAGTTGCCTCCTGTATGTAAAAGGAATAACACTGATGCACAGAGATTTTGAGAGGAAGACCTTAGGAATTTCCGTCCTAATGCCCAGGTGGTGTGCTTATAGGGAGGGCATACGTATATTATCGCAATAGGATCAGGAATGCGTTCATGTTGCATGACTTTTTAAGAGCCACTTAAATTACCATTGGTCCTTCCCAAGCCTCCTTGTCTTCTTGGAGGGACCTTAGAGACCCATCAGGATCTAGCCCTGGAGTGCTGAGCTCCAGAGAGCATGCTAGTCCATGCTTTAGGATCTGTCACTGGAGAACCTAGAGAGGCATGCTTCACTCTGATGCTGTAGCAAAGTGGGCCATGAACTTGGAAAAACTGACTTCAAGGAATCCAAGTTCACGACATACTTTTGCTTTAACATGAACTAATCACACCTGCTTCCTTCTATTAAGACATCCATTCTCTTACAGTAATGGAGAATGAACCAGTTCCAGCCAGTTAAGGGCAGAGGGCACTTGTACAGTCATTTGGAGCACGGGGGGAAATCCAGTTGGCTTTGGAGTGTCTTGCTTTAAAACTACGACAGGGTGAGGTTGAGTCTCTGAAGAAATGTTGGCTTCTCGGTTCTGGCAAAGTCTTATGGTGCATAGGGGTCTGATGGCGTTATGAAATCAGAGGTGAAAACTCAGAGGCAGGTGGATGTATGGATGAATGAATAGAAGGATGGATGCATGAAGGAAAGCGATGAGGCCCTTGGGGCACCCTCCTGATGCTGTTGACATTGCTGAACACGGGATGTCCAGTCCCTCAGGTGTTCAGGCCACCTACCAAAGATAAAACAACTCACTGAGAATTTCCAGCCCAGTTCAGCCCAGCCTAGCCCAGCCCAAAACTTCTTTGACCAAAGAAGGGAGTTGGAGACTTCCTGGGCCTCTGTTACCATGGGCAAGTTCAGGTTGCCTCGACACTCAGGCCAAAGCAGTTCACCTTCTGAAGGGCTGACACTATACAGAGCTTTGTGACTTAAAGAATTACCCTGAGGGTGGGGACCCTGGGCAGGATAGACAGTGACCTAAGGGACCAAATTTAAAGTCACTTCAGTTGTGGGTGGCAAAGTCACTTGTACAACCTGCCATCCACATCTGCCTTCCCCTCCTGTGTTCCTGTGGGTCACCTCATGTCACACCACTCCTGTTCTATTCCTCCACTGGTACCGCAGAGTTCTCCTTGTTTTCGGATGGGATGGCAAGGTAGTCAGACCTACAGAGGACACAGGGAAAGGGAGTCAGAGCTTCAGTACCCGGGGTGGGAACACAAGAGGAAGGAGCAGGGCACAGGAACAAGGATCTACAGAACGTCTCTGCATTTCCTTCTGCATGTGCTTCCCGAGAGGAACACAACCCTTTCTGCAGATTCATATAATCATTTCCCACATGCATATATGTCTATGAACACCCAACAGTAGTGTATAGCCTCTCTTTTATCCATGTTGTCTTCAACATTTAGTTAGATTAAAATGTTGGCCAATTGGCCCGGGGTGGTGGTTCATGCCTCTAATCCCGGCACTTGGGTGGCTAAGGCAGGAAAATTGCTTAAGCCCAGGAGTTCAAGACCAGCCTGGGCAACATGGCTAAACCCTGTCTCTACAAAAAATACAAAAAATTAGCCAGGCATGGTGGCATCTGCCTATAGTCCCAGCTAGTTGGGAGGCTGAGGTGGGAGGATCACCTGAGCCCGGGAGGTCGAGGCCATGACTGCTCTACTGCCCTCCAGCCTGGCAACAGTGAGACCCTGTCTCAAAAATAAAATAAAATAAAATGTTGGTCTGACAGCTGTCTGACTGTTCATTTGCTTTCTAGTTCTTCTGAGATCTTTGTCTTTTTCGAATTGATTTTTCTTTGATGGTTTCATGTCCTGACAATTTCTCCCAGTCTCTTGTCTATGAAATTTGCTTATGGAGTTTTCTAATGAACAGTTGATTTTTTTATGTATAATATAATCAAAATTATTTTTCCTCTTTGATTTGTGCCTTTTGTGTTTTGTTTGGAAAATCCTCTCTATTCTAAGGTGATGTATTCTCTTATATTCCCTTAATGGAATTTTCAAGGTTGACATTTTACTTTGTGTTTAAATCCACTCACAGTTTATTTTGGCTTAGTATGAGAGCTGGGGAATCTAATTTTGTTTTTTGTTTTTCTTCGTTTGTTTCTCTGTGGATTAGGAATTTTCCCTGGACCACTTACTGGGCAGTTCATTATTCCTTTAATGATTATAATGTCATCTCTGTCACATGCTTTCCTACATGCATTAACCTGATTGGGGCTTTTTGCTTTGTTTGTCCATTTTGTATGCCTATGCAGTATCACAAACTCTGTATTCTGATGGCTCTGCAAGAAACCTTCATCTCTGATAAGACAAATCCTACCAAACTCTTGCAAATTTACTGCTCTTTCTTTGAAATGGTTTAGACCAAGGGTGGGCTAACTATGGCCTAAGAACTAAGGATGGTTGTTTGCAAACAAACAGAAGAACAATACATGACAGGGGCCTATGGAGCCAGCAAAGCCTAAAAACACTTATTTTCTGGCCATCCCTTGGTTTAGACTATTTTTGAACACTTAGCCTTCCATGTGACTTTTAAGATCAGCTTATTAAGTTCTTTGAGAAATCTAATGGGCATTTTGATTGGAATTTCATTGAATTTGAAGATTAATTTGGGAGAAAATCATTTACAATAGTGAGGTTTTATTCTCCATCTAGTTAAGTTTAAAGTCTTTCGGTAAAGGTTTGTGACTTTTTCTTTAAATGTCTTATACATATTTGTCAGATTTATCCCAGGAACTGGAGAGTACTTGTTGCTATTATAACTTTAAAAGCATTTTAATATTTAAATATGTTACTAAATTTGTTGCTGGAATATAGGTGATTTTTATATTTTGATTTGTATCAACAATTTTGTGGAATATTCTTTCTAGTTCTAATGGCATTTTTATAGATTCTCTTAGGTATCTTTTGTAAATAATAGGTATAAATAATGACAATTTAGTTTCTTCCTTTCCAAGTCTTTTTCTTTTTGGTATCTATTTGGTCTTCACCTAGGATTTCCAACACAATATTGATAGAAACAGGGAGAGGTAGTATCCTGGATATGTTTCTGTAATTACTGAAATTTGAGGTTTCAGCACATAGATGATATTTGCTGTAGGCTATAGTAGCTGCCGTTTATGACTTTGAATATGCTTGGTGTTTTCTGGGCACGGTGGCTCTCGCCTGTAATCCCAGCACTTTGGGAGGCTGAGGTGGGTGGATTACAAAGTCAGGAGTTTGAGACCACCTTGTCCAATATGGTGAAATCCTGTCTCTAATAAAAATACAAAAATTAGCTGGGCATGGTGGCGCGCATCTGTAGTCCCAGCTACTTGGGAGGCTGAGGCAGAAGAATCACTTGAACTTGGGAGGCAGAGGTTGCAGTGAGCAGAGATCGTGCCACTGCACTCCAGCCTAGGCTACACAGTGTGACTCCATCTCAAAAAAAAAAAAAAAAAAAAAAAAAAGATGTTTGGTGTTTAGGTGTAGATGTATTCTATTTATTCTGCTCAGGGCATATTATGCTTCTGGAATCTGAAGAGTCATCCCTTCCTCAGCCGCTCTGTCTCTGAACATTGTCTCTCCTCCATTCTCCGTTCTATTCTAATGCACCTTGCCATTTGTTTCCTTCACATTTCTTTGCATGGCTCATCTTTTCCCATCTCTGTGCTTCAGTCTGCAGAACTGGCTCACATTTATCTTCTGGTTATCAGCATCTAATCTTCTGTGGAAACATTCACTTCCAGATTTGTTCGTTTCTATTTGAATCTGCCTGTTCTTTTATCTTAGAAACTTACTCTATTCTTACGCTTTTTTTCTTTTATTGGTTTAACTGTTTAAACAAGCTTATTTTTATTGTTTATTTATTTCTGAGACAGGTCTCACTCTGTCATCCAGGTTGAAGGGCAGTTCTACAATAATGGCTCCCTACAGCCTCAAACTCCTGAGTTCAAGCGATCCGCCCTCCTCAGCCTCCTACGTAGCTCAGACCACTGGTACACGCCACCACATCAAGCTGATTTTTTAATTATTTTAAGAGATAGGGCCTCACCATGTTGCCCAGACTGGTCTCAAACTCCTGGACTCAAGTGATCCTCCTTCTTCTGCCTCCCAAAGTGCTGGGATCACAGGTCTGAGCCACTGCACCAGGCAAGCTTATTTTTTATACTTGGTCAGATCTTTCTTGTGTCTAAAGCCCCTAGGATTCACTCTTGCTCCTGCTGGATGGCTTTTCGCCATGTCTTTTAGTTTTGGACTGGACTGTGGAATCAGATCTAGCAGTGCTCTCTCTGGGGACTCCTATTAGGCCTTGGCTGGGAATGGGTTCCTTCAGAATGGTTTTCATTTTCTTCTATAAGATATTCATAGGTATCACTGGCCGGGGACTACTTTTTACAGAATTTCTCAGCTTGGAGGTTCCCGGGTCATATGGGTGGTATACATTTAAATCTCAAACATTGTGAGAGAAGGCTTGTAGTTACTAACGCTCAAGAATCTTTATTTTTCTACTTGGAGTTAGGCCAAAATGGTTAAGTTTCCTTGGCTTTTCCCTGGGTTGGCGGGCTGATGATTTTCTGGTCTACCCTTAATGCGAGCCGTAACTTTCTGAGGATCCTAGCTCTGCAGAGGGCCACGGTTTCACTCTGTTTCTTGTGCAGGCCCATTTGTAGATCCTTCCTATCCAAGCACTAAATCCCAAGCTCCTAAGTCACCGGGAATTACTACCTTTCTCAGCATCACACTTCTTTCTTTCCTTATATCCAGTCAGTTGTCATCTTTTACTTCCCTAAGATCACAGATATCATGCAAAATGATACTTTCTTTATCAAACATTTCTAACTGGTAAGAGCCTAGACTTTTTAGGGTTTGCCTCAGCAATGTTGCTAGCAATCTGTGGGTTTTCTCTCCCTTCCTAGCCCCAGACAACCAGCCAGGATGATCTCTGAGACTCTTGGCTCTTACAGATGATCATTCCTCAAATGTGCTCACCCTTGAGGGACTAGAGTCTCAGAGCAAATGGCTAAGGTACAGGCCGGACATTCACGGGTTGGAGTCCCCACTCTGGACATGCCATCACTGCCAGGTTCTAGGGGAAAGAACATGTTGCTTGGAGCATCTTTGCCAGCAAAGGGCAGTGCCCAGATGGCCTGAGAGCTCCATGGTATAAAGCAAACAGTTAAATGTGATAGAAAGAGCATGGACATAAGGACTAAAGAGACCCGGGTTCACATCCCAGCCTTTCCTCACACTATCTGTGTGCCTTAGTAAGCTGCTGTAAGTCTGCTTTGGCATTTATAGAATGGCAGTAATAATGTTACTTTGTTGTTGTTTTTGTTTGTTTTTGAGACGGAGTCTTGCTCTGTCGCCCAGGCTGGAGTGCAGTGGCATGATCTCGGCTCACTGCAACCTCTGCCTCCTGGGTTCAAGCAATTCTCCTGCCTCAGCCTCCCAAGTAGCTGGGATTACAGGTGTGTGCCACCATGCCCAGCTAATTTTTGTATTTTTAGTAGACACAGGGTTTCACCATGTTGGCCAGGCTGGTCTATAAACTCCTGACCTCAGGTGATCCACCCATCTTGGCCTCTAAAGTGCTGGGATTACAGACTTGAGCCACCATGCCCAGCCATAATAATGTTACTTTAATGGGTTGTGGTGGCAGCTTATGGTCTTTGCCTTAATGGTTAAGTGTGCTAGCCAAGCATCAGCGGGCCTAAATTCAAACGTCGCTTTGTTTCTTACAATGGCCTTAAGCAAACTCTCCCAAATTCAGTGTTCTCATCTGTAAAATGGGTATAATAATGGTACCTATCTCTTAAGCAGCTATCAGGAAGAAGGTGGAGGATGAATGTAAATTGCTTAGCACCTCACCCGTGAGAGCAAGCATTCCGGAGGTGCTAGCTTTCAGTATCACTTGGGCATCTTTGGACTTACGCGTTTTCTTGGGCTGCCTCTTCAGCCTTTGAGACCTTTCTGTAGCAATATATCATCTCGATGAGCAGCCACAAGGTGAGGAAGACCAGAAGGATGTACATCATGATTTCTGAGACCACAGAGGTGAAGTCCTCTCCAGCTGAAAGAAAGAGAATGAGGCTCAGAATATGCAAGTCCAACAAACCCAGGGCTGTCATTGGAGTCATATTTTTAAGTACAGCTTAAATAAACTCAAGAAGATATCAAAGGAATTCCAAATTCTGACTCTCCCATTAATTGGCTTTCTCACTGACTGTCGTTGGCTGCTCAGGAGACAGGGATGAGGGAGGGGGTGCCTGCAAGAAGCAGCAGAGCAGTGGAAGGAATCTGGCCTCAAAGTGAGCATCTAGAGCTGGCTCTCCATTTTGCTATTTACAGGTGTGTCAACAACAATTTTCCTTACTTAAGACTCAGTTTCTTAATTTGTAGGATGAGGATAACACCACCAATCAGGGGTTTGGGAATATTACACTATCTAATGTATTTCAGAACATGTTGTGAGATTAAAAGTCTACACAGATGTTAGGAACATGCCTTATTTCAACTGCCTCTATCTTGTGTGCTGCTGGGGGTGGAGGGTGGTATCCCTGAAGAGAGAGCATTGGAAAATTCATTCAGGGTCAACACAGACAGCCCGCGTGTGATATGCACAAGTTCTATTCAAGTCTGGGTTAGAAACGAGACCTTCCAGGTCATCCCTAAACCAAACATAAATGAGTATTGGAGGATTTAATGTAGCAACCACATTGTCCCCGGGGCTATACTTCTGAAACACAGGATCCTGCCATTTCCCTGCTTAAAACTCTTCAATGCTCCACAGTGCCAGTAAGATGAAGCCCCAACTCTGTTCACGTGACATGCAAGGGCCTTCACAATCCAGCCTTTCCCACTTCATTTCCATTTGATTGGCCAGAAAAACTTCGGCTACACACGGTGGTATGTCAGAACCGTGGACCCTTCTTCCTCTTCCCTCTTCCTGGGTTGCGCCTCTCACCCATGCTAGCTCTGTACTCACATCCTCTCCTGTTTTTCAGTCTCCCAGTAGTTCTAAATTCTTCTGAGGTCCTCTCCTTTGTGAAACCTTCCCCAACTTCTCATGCAGAGATATTCACAACCTCTCCATGTACTTTTTTTCTTTCTTTCTTTTTTTAGATGGAGTTTCGCTGTCCTCACCCAGGTTGGAGTGCAATGGCATGATCTCAGCTCACTGTAACCTCTGTCTCCTATGTTCAAGCGATTCTCCGGCCTTGGCCTCCCAAGTAGCTAGATTACAGGCGCCCGCCATCATGCCCAGCTAATTTTTTATACTTTTAGTAGAAATGGTTTCCCCATGTTGGCCAGGCTAGTCTTGAACTCCTGACCTCAGGTGATCCTCCCGCCTCGGCCTCCCAAAGTGCTGGGATTACAGGCGTGAGCCACTGTGCCTGGCCTCCATGTACTTTTCTCATCTATCTGTTTGTTATAAGAGTTGTACTGTGATATGTTTATCTTTCTTTTCTGTGGACCGTGTGCTTATTGAGAACATATTTCTTTCTGGATTATCTGCCTGCTATGTAAATCTTAGAGAATTTAACATGCTCAATAAGTATTTATTGAATGAGTGAATATAAATATTATCTTATTTGTTTCATGATCAACAAAAAGGACCATGAAAACATAACACATAGCAGATATCCTGTCATATACACTCCTTGCTAGTGGGAGGAATGTTGCAGCCACCTCTCCCCTTGCCAGCTCTCAAAAGCAAGTCAGATTTATGATCTGCAGTTATCCACAGGATCTACCCAAGTCCTTGCTAAGAGTACAGTACAGCCTGCCATAACTATCAGTCCAGAAAGCAGTCCAAAGGCCCCAGGATCATCTAGGTTTCCCAGCTGGAGCTGGAGGTCTTAGATGCAGTATGAGGCACATGAGAATGTACAGCTCAAACGTCTTCTCACCGGCTTGCTACCACCTGGTGTACTAATTGTGATTTGTTTGGCTTAAAGCATGCTTTCTCTTTCAAAATGCAGTAGCCCACAAATGGTAATACAGGAAGCAGTTTTCAGTGTTTTTTGTTACCTGCAGGTGAAGAACCTCAGACTTCTGCCTTAGGAGCAGGAGGTGACAGCCTAAGCCAGAATAAACCCAATTGGAACAAAGAGAACTAGGGAGGCCACAGGAATGGAGGAGATGGCGGGGTTGGGGGCAGGTGTCATGGTGGAGCGCATAGCTCTGAGCAAGATGAGGGCAGGGAGTATCTGGTGTCACAGAGGCAAAAAAAGAAAAGAAAAAAAGAAAAAGTGGCAGGGGTGGGGGTAGTGGGGGTGGGAAAAGAAGCAGTGGAAAGAAAGCCAGCCGGATAGGCAAACAATCTGGATTTTCCTCCTGCTTCCAGTGCTAACTTGCTTCACATCCCTGAGCAAGCACCTTGCTCTTGCAGCGAACTCTGTTCTCCCAGCCACAAACTGAGGCGCACCAGAGCTGCACACTCCAACAGCTGGGGACTCATTCAACTTGCGCATGACGTCACCCAACCCTGCCGATCTCGCACCTGCAAGGGTGCTGCAGAGGTGACTACGTGTGGAAGAAGTCAGTGTGGGTGATTCTGATGCCTGCCCTTTATCTAGAGGCCCTGGATTAAATAAATGATATCCATGCTTCCTCCAAACCTGACCATCCACGAGCCTCTGTGGCTCTGATAATAAATTTGTTTTTCCTTCTGCTTTTACCCGAGGCTTGCCCTGCTGCCTGGCAGACGAACTAGCCCAGCCTTGCCACACTTTCCACCACTTATGCATAAGGGTGTCCGGAGGAAAAAGCCTGAGACAGCTGGAGGTAGAGACTGTTGTGCACTGTGCTAGGGACTGGCTGGCACCAACCAACAGTTCCAGACGGTGACCAGGAGAGGGCGCCAGGGAAAGGCGTGTAATAAACGGGGAATAAAGGAATTTCAGAACAGGAAATTTACCTTAGAGAGCATCCCTCCCCACCCCCATCCAACCCCTTTGTTTCACACCAGAGGATCCCGGCTCAGAGAAGGGAAGAGACTCTTCAGGAGGCCTAAGCGTCCTTTTGCATTTTCAGAATTGACCTACCTTCCATTTTAGTTACCTTGTCTAACCATTATGTCTCTTTCTCCTTTGTTCATTCACTGTGAGGACCGAAGCTTGGCTTATTTTTATCACAATGACATGATAAAAAATGAATAAACCTGTGGCCTGGAGGTTGGTATTCCTGGATCCTTTTTTCTAGGAAGAGCCCTGTCTAACTTGATCTTTTCTTTCATGCCCCACACTTTGGCCTGCTCCCCAGCCTGCCTCTCGAGGCAGTAATAATTCTGGCCATAGACCAAGAAAGGCTGGAACTCCACCCTCAGAAGGCTGGATTCCACTTGCAACAGAAACACGTGAGGCAGGCTGCTGAAAGGACTTCCCACTCACCAACAAGGAACTAGCTACAGGAGTCCAAAGATGTTAAGTAAGAATAGAGAGCTACCAACCTGTCCGCCTTCTCCCAGCAGAGAATGAATTCATGTAATAAGAGATGCCACAGAGATGGGGAAGGGGTTGCATGTATGATTATTGTGAAGAAAGACAAAAGAAGAAAAGATTGTGAAACTTCGGTTTAGAGAGTGGTTCTCAAAGTGTGGTTCCAGCAGCAGCACTGCCTGTGTGTCAACCTGTCAGGCAATGCAAACTCTCAGGCTCCGCCGACAGAAGCAGAAAGCCTGGGTTCCACAAAGCCTTGCAGGAGAGTTTGAGGTTTGCTGAAGTTTGAGAACTCCTGGTTTAGAGGCATGCATTTCTCACAGGCAGAAGGAGAGATCACTTCTGAGATTTCTCTGAGCCCACTGAGTCAGGGATTCAGCATAGGCCAGAAGAATTCAACAGGCCAGCTGAATCAGTAGCCTTTGGCCTCGTGGAGGCTAGCTTCTTTCTCTAAGAGACCAGGAAGAGGTCATTCTACCATCTCCAAGCCTTTCTGCTTTGAAGAAAGGCACAGAAAGATAAGCTCCTCGGGCAGTTTACAAGAAGCTGGCCACCAAAGGCAGATGGGTCAATGGTGACATTTTTAGATGTCACCATTCCACATACCCAGGTGTTTGCACTCTTTAAGGATCTCGCTCATGTGGAGACCTGCTATCCTGCCCTGCCCTACCCACAGAGAGCAGGACGCTGTAGAGACACCTGTGCCTCAGCCTCACCCTCCTCGGTGACTCTTAGGGGGATCAGCCGCGTCGTCTTCACAAAGGGCCGATGCGCCTCAAACTCAAACTCCCGGGACACATTGCAGGTGTAGAGGCCAGAGTCATTCAGAGTGACGTTGAGCACAGTGATGGACACATCCTGCAGGTCCTTGCTTCCATTCCACTGCAGACGCCCCTGAAAGGGGCTCTCCACCTCCTGGTGGCCGTTCCGATACTCATAGATCTGCAGATAGAGGAGCAGAAGAAGGTAGGGCCAGGAGAGGGGATGAGGGAAAAGCTGAGTTAGGGACAGGGCAGAGAAAAGCAGCAGAATTGTGCATGGACAAGGAAGACAGGGGAGCGTGTCACCAGGAGACCCAAAATGTGGGGGTGGGATGAAGAGGCACAGAGGAGGGTAGGAAAGAGAGCAAAGACAGAGAAGGACAGGCAGAAGCAGCGGGCATCAGGGCATGTAGACATGGTCAGGACAGAGGCTGCAAGGGGTGGGCAGGAAGAAGCTTGGCAGGAAAAAAGCGGTGGAAAGAGGGAGAACAAAGGCAGGTGGGAGAAAGGTATGAGACACCAGGTGGGGGACATTGAGAGAAAGACAGGATTTGAAAGAGATAGAAGGAGAAAACAAGAGAGTAAGATGTGTCCCAGGGCCACCAGCGAGAGAACAAGATACAGACAGCAAGACAGGCAGTTTCATTAGTAATGAAGACATCTGACAGTGCTGGCTTTAAAACTGGACTCTCTGTGCTGGGACTCATCAGGGGCCGTGGGACAGTCTGGGCCAGGCCACAGGAAGAGGGCTTAGGATGCTGAAGTGTGGCGGATGAGCAGAAAGCCATCGCCAGAGAGGCACACGTCACGTCTTTTGCTTTGGACTGAATTTTAACTGAAATCTCATCTTTTACATTCTCAACACTTCCACCCTCTGACATAACACACCTTTTTTTCCTCTCTCGCTACAGTTGTGCTGTCTACTCTAGTCTCCACTAGCTACCTAAATTCAATTTCCTAGAAATTAAATAAAATGTAAAATTCAGCTCCTCAGTGGCACCGGCCACATTTCAATTATTCATAACCACATATGGCTGCTGGGCATTGTACTGCACAGCACGCAGAGGTCTCCACCATCACAAACATCTCGATGAGACAGCATTGGATTTCCATGGGTTTTTTGCTATTGTTTTATTTTTCATGTTCTTCTGATCCACCTTCTCCTCACTTTGGGCAGGCCTAGAAGAAATGTGGGCAGCTACAACTGGTACATGACCGGGCCTGAAGCCCCTGGGGGCCTTTGCATCTGGCCAAGGCCTTGAGTCTCCTACAGCTGGGGGCCAGCCTCAGCTGCAGCTTCATTGACGTGTCACTGCCAAGCCTGAGCTAGGCTCTGGGAAGTCTCTGCTGGTCCCAGTCTTGGCACCTGACTATAACGAATCTACATCAGAATGGCACATAGAAGCCAGAGTCAGAAATGAGTTCAGCTTTAGGATAGCAAGAAAGAAGAGCAAGCTAAACCCAGTGTCACCCTTCCGTTGTCTCCATTACAAATCTTTGTAGAAGAGAATCTTGTCCCCAGGAAGGCAAAGCAGTGCCATGAAAAGGGCCTTGTATCTGCTGTGAGACCACCTGGCTCAAGTCTAAGCTGTCTTACTAACTTCTCTGAGCCTCAGTTTCCTCATTTCTGCATCTATGTCTTTTCTCTCGCAAATACTTAACATAGTACTTAGAGTTCCAGGAACTATTTTTAATGCATTAAAAATTACAGCTCATGAGTCCTGGTAGCAGCACTGTAATTTGGCTATGCTTTATATCCCCACTTTAAAAATGAGGAAACTGTGGCACAGAAAGGTTGACCAACATGTCCAAGGACACAGAGGTAGTTAAGTGTGAAGTCAAGAGCCAAACCCAGGCAACCTGGCTCCAGAGTCAGTGAAGGAGTAAATAATGGTCATCTCCAAGGTAGTATTCGAAATATATGACAACTGATGGGGTGCGGTGGCTCACGCCTATAATCCCAGCACTTTGGGAGGCCGAGCTGTGTGGATCACTTGAGGTCAGGAGTTCGAGACCAGCCTGGCCAACATGGCAAAACCCTGTTTCTACTAAAAACGCAAAAATTAACTGGGTATGGTGGCGCGTGCCTGGAGTTCCAGCTACTGAGGAGGCTGAGGTGGGAGTGTTGCTTGAACCTGGGAGGCAGAAGTTGCAGTGAGCTAGACTGTGCCACTGCACTCCAGCTGGGTGACAGAGGGAGGCTCTGTCTCAGAAGAGAAAGAGAAAAAAATACGACAACCACTTCACCACTGGCACCAACCAAGCAGAACCGACACTGGTTATGGTGCAGGAACAGAATCCAGAAGACTCCTTGCTCTGCCAGGAGTGAATCTCTTGGCTCAAATCATGGAGAGGTCTGGGGGTTTGGCCACTTCAGAGATGGGGCCCATCAAGTATCCATGGGAGAACTGTCTAAAAGAGTTTACTCGCTGATGTGGCTGTACTGGGTGGCCCAGGTGAATCTCACCCTCGGATCACTCTTGGTCATTCCTGTCATTCCTATGTCACTGGGATTGTGGGAGTTAAAGGAGCCAAACTTTGTTATTCCACATAATGATGCTTTGTGTTATTCCAGTTTCTTTATTAACTTAAACCGTATAATAGGATTGCACAGAAGGTTAAATGAAAACAGCTGCAAAATGCCTGGTAGGGTGCCTATCACATAGTAGGCTTTAAATATAGCTTATCTCTTTTCTCTGCTTTCCCTGGCCTATAACCAAGGGTGCTTACAGCTGGCCCGGTGCCCTTTCTTTCACAGAAGCTAGGCGAAACTACGGCTGTCAGTTATCTGCTGAGGAGCTGTCAGTGTTTGAAAGAGAAAGAGCCAGTGTTTGCTAGCTTGGCATCCCCCAGGCTGTCAGGAGCCAGGCTCAGAAGAGCAGAGGCCGGCAGAAGAAAGGCCAGAGTCAGCAGTCTAACATACAAGGAAATCTTTACCGCCCTCGGGCCTGTAGAACCATTCCACCACCGTGGTGGCCTCCACCTCCTCTCTCTTCATGCAGGAGATGCAGCGCAGCTTCATGGGGTTGCCCTGCACGGCCTCCGTCTCCGAGGGCACTTCCACACACACGGGGAAGCAGACGCTGACTGCAGAGAGGACAGGGAGGGAAGGAACAGCAGGTGTTGGGGGGGCACAGGCACAGGAGAGAGGCAATGGAGAACAAGGAGGGAGGGAGGAGAGACAGAGAAGGAAGAGTCATGAAACGAACTTGATAAAAGCCATGTACAAGTGTCTACACCCTCACCTGGGCTCCCTGAGTGTACAGGCTCAGAACATGTACACAGTTAGAGGGACGAGACCTGGATGACCCAGACACGGACTGAAATTCTTCCCCTGGAAGCAGTGGAGATGCACCACAGTGTGTTATACTTGAGCCCTACCCTCTAAGTCTTACAGCCCAAGTGGGAGACAGGGCATGTGCCTACCTAGTGACCATCCATCCCCGTCATTCCACTGCCATTCATTAAAATCCTCTCTCTGGCGGGTCTGATGCTAGAATAGAGATGCAAAGAAGAACAAAACACTAACCATGTCCTAAATGCATTTATAATCTAATAGGGAACACATATTCCTATCTATGATTAAACCAGACCACAGCAAGTAACACACCCGTGATGTGTTCTGCTCCTAGAAGACAGGCAGTTAGTTACTCCCAGTTGGCCTAGGGAGAAAGAAAGAGGAGGATGGTGAAACGTGAGGATAGAAGGGTAGGCAGGACCCACGCTGGGAAGAACTCTGTGTGTCCCTTCCGGTGTGAGGTATCAAATGTTTTAAAGCCATGGAGAGATGCAGTTACGTCGTGTTGCATGAAAACTGTAGCTAATTCTGACACACGGTGGAGACTGGAGCAGCAGTGAGGAAATGGAGAGCGGACCACCAGGCTGGAGCAATGCTCTATGCAGAGGAGTATAGTGAGGCAAGGGAAAAACTGGAGGGGGTCAGACTGTGGGACACCTTGCATGCCGCAAGGAGTCTGGACGTAGAGTTTCTGCCCTCTAGAAACTGGAAGTCTATTTTTTGAAAAGAGGCAAGTATATCAACTTGGTACTTCAGAATAACTCGAGTGGAGCATGGCTGCCAGCAAAACATGTGCAAATGTGGGCTGCATTAACAGATGTACAGTGTGCAGGAGGAAGGAGGCGTAGCTCCTCGGCACTGCTTTTGGAACAAATCTGGACTATTATGATCAGTTCAGGATGTCACATTTTAAAAAAGGAAGTTGTTCAAAGAGTGCAAGCCCAGAGGTAAGGGAGATGGTGAAGGGTCTAGAGATAAAGTCTGGGGAGGAACAAATGTGAGGACTTGAGTTACTTACTTGGACACAGAACATATCTGTCTTCAAATATTTGAAGGCTGGCAGATGGAAGAGAAATTTGATTCTGCCCAACCCCAAAAGTTATAAGAAAAAAATAAGTTTAATGCAATAAAAAAAGAACTTTCTGATTTTGGAGCTGTTCACAAATGCAAATAACCGTATGGTAAGAGAGTGTACACGGCATTGTTTGGCACTTTGGGAGGTTAGGACGGGAGGATTGCTTGATGTTAGGGATCCAAGATCAGCCTGGGCAACATAGTGAGACCCCTAACTCTACAAAAATAAAATAAAATAAAAATTGGCCAAACACGGTAGCATACAACTGTAGTCCCAGCTACTCAGGAGGCTGAGGGGGGAGGATTGCTTGAGCCCAGGTGTTTGAGGCTGCAATGAGTTATGATAGCACCATTGCACTCCCAACGGGTTGACGGAGTAAGACCCTATCTCTTAAAAAAAAAAAAAAAAGTAAAATAGCCATCATGGATTCTGACATTAGGACTTTGAAGATCCCTTCTGAGGCAACTCTTCCATCAATTAATAATAAAAACAATGCCCAGAAAAAAAGAAATAATACCCACTGACATTTAGAAACTAGTCCACTGTTAATGGTCAGCCTACTCATCTACTGACAGAGTTCTTTCCTAAAAGCAGAGGGAAGCTTTATTTAGAGCTTAACAGTGACGTAAATTAACTTTGAGTCAAAACCTAATACTGTGTTTAATTGACTTAGAAGGCAGTGTATTTCATTTCAAAACATAGACTTTAAAAACCAGTGGCACTATAATTACAGTTTTAAAGATCAAGGTAAAATACATTTCATTGGTATTTCAAGTCTCCAGCAAGCTTGGTGAGTCTTATCTGGCAGTCTTCAAGAGGGCCTAGTACTTCTGCAGATGGTGAGCCACTTTAATGCAGAGACGGCCCACATCTTGGAAGAACTGATCAGAAACATCTTCAGCCTGTGATGTTTGAAGTACTGATTATAGATCTGATTAAACAAAAAGGAAATGTGGTTTGTGCAAAAGCTTGTGAGTGGGCAGAAGGGTAGAGGGTCTACAGCAGGAACTCTGTGTAGCATGGAGCCTTGAAGCACATTCATATTTAATGGAGCTAGTAAACATAAATTCATTCATTTTATGTTGACAAACTCAGAAGTGGACTAGGAAGTCTCAAGGAATACACAGTTACAATTATTGAGGCAGGGTGAAGGTAGAATTTGGCAACTGAAGAGCTGGGTTTCAGGTACTATGTAATCTCTCCGAGATTTAGTTTATTCATCAACATAATGCTGAAAATTACATCTCTCTACTAGATTTATCATGATAATTCTATGGATTAATTTACATGAACATTCTTGGTACAAATGTTATCATTCATGTTATTCTATCCTTTGTTTATTTCACAAGTATACTGAGTGCCTACTGAGTGCCAGGTGTTATTCTATGAAGAATATACAAAAGAACAAAATAGAAGAATCCCTGTTTTATGGAGCCTGCATTCCAGTGGCGGGAGAGGAAAAACAGCAACATTAAATTGTAAAAAGTGCTGTGAGAAAAAATAAAACAGAGTGCAGGAGAGAGCATGTGAACAGGGTTATTGAAGGATGGCCTTTCTCAGAAGGTATCGTTGAGCAGGCACTGAAGAAAAGAAATGAGGATACAAGCTATACACATATCCATGTGAAGGTCCGTCAAATAGGAAATTGCAACTCAAGGGCTCAAGGGCCCCAAAGGAGTGTGTTTGTTATGTTCAGCAGACAGCCAAGAGCTCACTGGTAATTACAGCAAACAGAGTGAGAACAGAAGTGGATGATGTAGTAGGAGAGATGGGCAGGCTCAGATCACAGCAGGTCTTCTTGGCCATGTTAGAACCTTGGCATTTGCTTAGAGTAACGTGGGAGCGGCAGAAGGTTCTGAGAGGAAGAATGATGGGATCTGATTTGTACAAGATCACGTGATCGGATGCTGTGTTGGGAGTAAACTGAAGAGGTGAAAGGGACAAGGGTGGAATCAAAACAGTTACGAGGCCTGGTACAGGGATCAGATTGGAAGATGATTTTGTGAATGAAGATGACAGGAGAGCTGGTGGAGTTTGAAAGAAAATGATTTGCTGGATTGCCATCTTTGAATAGGTGAGAGGTGATGTGCTCTACTGGTATGGCAGCAAGTGGGGTAGCCCCTCTCTTTTCTAGGTTGTCCCTGAGGTGACAATAATTCAAGGTATCATCATAGAGCAAATGCCACTGTTTCCCTTCTGGTCAAAATCCAGCTCCAGGGCATGAGAACTATGCTCATATGATTTGGAGAGTATGTTGAAAAACGGCCACAAAGTCCCCCTACCTCTGTTTGCTTACCTTTTGCAGTATGACTTGCTGCACCTTGTTCAACTCCATCCTTTAAGTCTTCAGCACACCACTGCCTTTCTTTCTTCCTTCCTTCCTTCCTCCCTCCCTCCCTCCTTCTCCTCCTTCCTTTTTCTTTCATTCTTTCTTTCCTTCCTTCCTTCCCTTCCTTCCTTTCTTCCTTCCTTCCCTTCTTTCTTTCTTTCTTTCTTCCTTCCTTCCTTCCTTCCTTCCTTCCTTTTTTCCCTCTTTCGATGGAGTTTTGCTCTTGTCACCCAGGCTGCAATGCAATGGCACAATCTTGGCTTACTGCAACCTCCACCTCCTGGATTCAAGCGATTCTCCTGTCTCAGCCTCCCAAGTAGCTGGGATTATAGGCACCCACTGTCATGCCCAACTAATTTTTGTATTTTTAATAGAGATGGGGTTTCACCATGTTGGCCAGGCTAGTCTCAAACTCCTGATATGGCAGGAGCTCAATCCACATTGGTGACTAAAAGTAACAAACTTCTGGAATAATGTTGACCAAATCATTTGACCTTTGTTCTTCTCTTCAATTTTCATAATAATAATGAAGAAACTCATTAGGTGGAAAAACATGGTGTATTAATAATGATAATATTTCATTAAGGAGTAGCATCCATCATGAGGTGGATAAAAAAGTATTATGAACTCCTCTGATAACCCTCAAAGCTTTCTCTTCCTTGGACATTGCCCAATTTTTCCTCCTGAGATTGCTCTAGAATGCTTTCCTTTGCACTGAGATAATGAAAAATTTGATTAGAATATAAACAATCTCCAAAAATAGGTAATAAATGAAGTTATTTTTCGATGCTGACCCCCATGACCCAACTTGGTCTGTCAATTTAGCTGGTCACTTAGGGCCTGAATAGGATGCACGAAGGACCACTAGGGGAAGAGAGAAAAACACTTCCTAACACATGGGGCAACCAGAAGAGCAGGTCTGGAGAGGAAGGGCAGAGAAGGCACTAGGAACTAGTGGGTGAGGTCCTAGGACAGGTGACGGCATGGGAGAGGGAGGGGACGGTAGCTCAGAAGAGAAATGGGAGGACAGGTACCAACCCGGCAATTGGGCATAATAGCACGTGTGTCCATAAGAGGTGCTAGAAGGAGAATTGGAAGACTGATATCAGAAAACAAGGGTTCTCTAGCATGTCCTTTCCCATCCCTGAGCTCATTTTCTCATCTCTAAACTGGAAATAACACTCTTTCCCCTGACTACCTCAGGGATAAGTATGAGGACCAAAAAAGCAAAGCACTCAAAATTACTTTGTAAACTGTGATGCACAGGTGACTATAAGTTTTTGTTCGTTTGTTTTTTATAAAGGCTTGGCGTGGTATGGTATCTCATGCCTATAACTCTAGCACTATGGGAGGCTGAAGCAGGAGGATCACTTGAGCCCAGGAGTTAGAGACCAGCCTGGGCAATACGATGAGATGCCTTCTCTGTTGATTTTGTAAGTCTTTTTTTTTTCTTTAAATATTACATGCTTTAATAAAGAAAATAAGAAAACTTTTTTTTTTTAAGACAGAGTCTCACTTTGTCACCAGGCTGGAGTACAGTGGCACTATCTTGGCTCACTGTAACTTCTGCCTCCTGGGTTCTTGCGTTTCTTCTGCCTCAGCCTCCCAAGTAGCTGCAACTACAGGCGCACATCACCATGCCCAGCTAATTTTTGTATTTTTAGTAGAGACAGGGTTTCACCATCTTGGCCAGGATGGTCTTGATCTCTTGACCTCGTGATCCACTCACCTCGGCCTCCCAAAGTGCTGAGATTACAGGTGTGAGCCACCGTGACCGGCCAGAAAACTTTTTTCATGCATGCAGAAAGTAAATGGAAAGACTCTTTCCCTTTATATTGTAGATCATATTAAAAATTCAACTTGGGAAGGGGAACACATCTAACTCAGCATTGTCCAATATTGGAATTACATGCAAATGAAATGAAATTGTACCTGTGAAGGGAGGCTCTTTTTCCTACATTTAACAACCAGGCATCTTGAGCCACTTCCCTTTCCCTTCCACAGCTTTTCAGTCTGGTTGCAGAAAAACTGAGAATGGGCAAAGATGGACATTCTGTGTACATTTCTTCCAAAGTTTTTTGGGGGTTGGGGAGAGGATGGGTACTCTGTCAAGTCTAGCAATATTCTTCAAAGATTTCTCTACCATTCATCTGTAGAGCTGAAAAGGATGTTCGATACCACTTGTGCCAACTTCCAAACATTCTCCGCAAAGAACCAGATAGCACTTTGAGTGTTACATAGTAAGCTAGTGGCAAAGCTGAGACTCCAATGCAGGCTGCACAAGTTCTAGTCAAAAGATTCTTGGAGATAACATGTTCTCTCCTTCCCCTGGAATTCAGACAGGGACCTCAAAAACTTAGATTAGAGTATAGGAAGAAAGTCTCTGCAGAGTCTCACCCCAGTCCTTGTCTACAACTTCGGCTTTACCCACACTCTTTTTATCCAGCCAGACCTCTTCTAGGCCTCATGACCCCAGCCTTAGCCTCCCCTGAGAAAATTTTAGCCTTAATCTTCAAGGCAGGTGAGATCATTGGCAACCTATTATGTCTGCTCCATCTCCAGGTCTGGTCTACTCTACTGGGGATGGCTGGTGATGAGTCTGCCCTTGGGACTGATATTACCTCCCTCTTCGACCTTCCTAGCCTGTCTCATCAGGCATTTTGACAGGAAGCTTGGCTCTGCCTCTGGTCACATGCAAAATCCAGATAATGCTGGCAGCTAGAGTTAGTCCTGGAGGCTTGAAAAAGTAATACTAAGGCAAAGAGGTTGTTCCCATCAGCATGTCTGCCACTGTATGGGCAGGATGAGTTTCATGCCAACTATGGGAACATAAGCCCACATGCCTCATTTCAGGGAGGCAGGTGGGTACAATTGTGTCCAATTACCCTGTATATTGATATTAGCATGAAGGAAGGTAGCTAAGATCATGTAAAGCAATGTATCTGCTGAAGAGCATTATATTTTGTCTGAGGATCTAATCAGAGACACCAAGGCAGCGATGCCTAGAACTACCACCTTGCCATACACACTACTACATTCTCACCCATGCATTCAGATGTCTATGCTAACGTGTTCAGACACATGCTAGTGCACACATCCAAACACTAAGATATATTTACACACAGTAAAACATTGTCTCAATCATATAATCAGACATTATCACATAGAATCTTAACTCCTTTACACACCTTAAGGCACTTCAAGATCGTCTCTGACACTCTCGTCAGCCTTTACTGTTCCAAGTGTATGATTTCCTTATTTGTAGGGGGAAGGTCAGTTCAGTCTTTCACAGCTGACAAGCAAGAATCTATTCATCTTTGAAGGCAAAAACCCAGTGCTCCTCCCCAAACACCAAAGCGTCGTAGTTCCACACGTTCATGCAAACAAACACACACACACACACACACACACACACACACACACACACACACAAAGAAGAAAGATGCATTTCACAGTTGCCTATTTATTTAATACATAGCAGTAAATGGCTGAAGCCTGTTTTCTTCCCACTCCTTCTTAAAATTAAGCCGATGATGAGCAACTAAAGTATTTTTACTCTGAAAATTCATGCATCCAGATTTTATGTTTGTTTTTTAAAATACAGAAATGAATTTTAAAACCCAGTAAGCTTTCCAGGAGTATGGACTCCTTAATAAGAAATGAAATATAACCGCATAGGAGGTTTTTGATGGTGAACGTGACTGCATTTCCTTTCAGCAAAGGGAAAGCAAAAAAAAAAAAAAAAAAAAAAAAACTTTGGAATCATCAGGAAACTGGAGGAAGGGCGGAAAAACCACCAAAAGAGGTTGGAGAATAGCGGGGCAGGGCGGTGGGGAGGCGCCTTTCCCATCTCAAAATTCTAGCTCTCACGGAACCCCTGCGATCTCCACGTCTGGCAGACATGCACAGAGGGAAGCCAACCAGAGCTCTTTTCTGTCTCCAAGGGCATCCATGTGTTATTACTGTTAGCATTATTATTGTTACCTGCATCCAGCATGGCGGGGTGCTGGTACTTACCCCAGTAGACGAGCACGAGAGAAGCCAGGGGAAACAATCTGTTGAAGGCAGGCATCTTCTGGGGCTGGCGGCTTCCGAGGCTACACAGAGAGATTCCTTCGGTCAAGGACTGCGCCCTCTCAGATTCTTTCGAGGAAACCCTTTGGGACGAACTGCCCCCAGGGGGCGACTTTCTGACCAAAGGAAGGGCCGAGCACCGGTGCCTGGGGAGGCCCTGGGGGCTTTTGGAGCCAGGCGGCGGCTCTGGGCCCGAAGCCACCCCAGCGGACCTCCCCAATTCGAGGGAGCTGATCAGCCGCTCCGCGCCCGCTGTCGCCGGCGCTCAGCACCACGGACAGCCGCCTCCCCGCCCACCCCGGAACTCCCGCTTCCACTGGCGCCCCAGCCTCGCTTGTTTGCGCGCAGGGCAAGCTCAGCTCGGAAGGGAGTCGCACTGCTGGCCTAGCAGCCGGGCTGTCGAAGGGTCCAGGTCGATTCACCTCTTGCCTCCCCAGGATCGGCTGCGCTCCGACTGGGACCGTCAGAGCCCCGCGGCTCCCGCGTGGTCGGCCCTGACCGCCTCTCCAGCTGGGCGTGTCCCCACGCCCGAAGCCGCAGGGACCGCCAGTCTGGGCTACAGAATGTGTTCCACGTCGGTCCGGTCCACGCCCGCCCTCGGCTTCCCGGGGAGGTGCAGCGGGGCCGGAAAGGAGGCGGCAGCTCGCGTTCGCCAGGCGATCTCAGAGGTGGGGGTGGGTGGGTGGTGAGGGGGAGTCCCTTCTCGGGAGCTCGCCGCCGGATGGCGCCTGGCCCCGGCTCTGGGCGGCGGGTGATCAGCAACCCCTCTCTAGTTCCCCAGGCCGTGTGTGCTGTCAGCCCTGAGGTGCGCAGGCGGCTCTCCGCCCCCACCGCCGCCCCGGACCCTCCCACTAGTGCACACTCCCCACCCCCTGACAGGCGTGCCCCTCCTAGGGCCCGGCGCCGCGCGGAGCCGGGGCGGAGCCGGGAGCGGCGGAGACACCTCCAGCCGGGAGATCTCCGCTTGCGCGCTCGCCGGTCTCTCCAGGTCTTCCTCTCGCGCCTCCGCACCTCTCCCGGGCTCTGGCGCACTGCCGCCCTCTGCTCACGCCCTCCAGGCAAACCCACTCCGCTCCGGCAAGAACATGCCGGGCGCAGCTCCGGGAAGGGGAGGGCCAGAGCTCTTTGAGGCAATGATGTCATCTGCCAGGCGCGCTGTTCGTGGTTCCTGGCTTCGCCTCCCCGACCCCATCCCTTCCAGTTCTCGCTGTCTATCCTTTGTCTAACCTTGATTAATTGGTTCCGGACACAGCAAACTCAGCAAGATAATCCCTGTTTAGGGCAAATGGGGTAGGGATGAGGCGCACCTGTTCCCGCGTTCACCTCATCACTCAGGTGATCCAAATGTCAGCTCAAGGGGAGGGGGGCCGAAGAGGATGCCTCTTCCCATCCCCAGGTTCTTTGCAGTTCTCCCTTTTCCTCTAATTACTTCTTTTTAATAAAACAGCTAGACTGTGTTTGGCCTCTTCCAACTATTAGCCACTCCCTAATCCTAGCAGCTGTTTGAGTGTCCCCGCCCATCTCTGGAAGGGAAACCTGAATCTTTCCATTCAGCTATAAACTCAAATTGACATAATAGATTAGGAATGCCTGGAACTGAAGTAAAAGAAAGAGTACTCCAAGAGCCTCTCCTTCAGCCTCCTTTTTGTCCTCTCCTGCTCTCTTTCCAAAAGGGAAAGCTTAACGCTGATATTTCAAAATGGAACAGCAGAGCAACAGCTGACGGTGAGTGAACCAGAAGCAGGAAATGCTCCCTCCTGACATCTGACAGAGCAACAGAATGTCTCCAATTGGATCTTCCTGGGCAAGGAGCCACCAGGCCATAAACTCTGTGCTGTTTGGAGGACTAATCCTTAGAGCATACATACTGTGTTAAACTTGGATGGGAAGTTAAAGTTAACCTAATTCAACCTCTTTTCCAATTTGTGACTTCCCCCAACAACATTTCAGATGAATGGACTGGATCTTTTTTAGTGATGAGAGCTTTCCACTTCACAAGTTCACCTTTTCTAATGCTTAAGGAAGTTCTTTATATTCAGTGGAATTCCGTACACTCCTCCTCCCTCTTCAAACTCTATTAAGTGGCCCTAATGCTGTTTTCTCTTTAAAAGAGCTATTTTCCCCCACATCCACCCTAAGACATTTTTGTTTGGGGCTACTCTTCCTTAGTTTCTTCCAATGTATTTCCTAGTAGTTTCCAATCCTTTACCACCCTGCTGCTTTTTCAGGAGGATTTTCAGATTCTCAGCATGATTCTCCAAGTGACATCCAGAACAGGAACTGATGGTCCCTGTGTGGTCTGACCAGCATAAATCAGTGGAATTATGGCTATGTTTGCTTTGAAGGAGATAGCTATTCAAATACATTTACAGCCACATCTTAGTCATAGTCAGCTTATGTTCAATTAAAATCCCTGAGTATTTTTCACTTGACTTGTGGAGTCATTTTGTCTTGTACAGGCAATTTTGGAAATTTTATTATGAAACTTTGCACTTACTGCTGTTAAAGTTTATTAGTTTCAACCAGTTACCACATTCTATTAATACATTTATTGGATTCAGATTCAATTATCCAATATATCTCTCTTCTTTAGCCTTGTTTCATCTCTAGGCTTGACAATCACGTGATCCAAACATGGATTAAAAAAGAAAAGCAACAGAAAAAAAGAAGAGATAGTTCTTTGGCCTGCTTCTAAAGAAGACCTCATTCTACCTTGACTTGAGCTACTAATTAACACTTTTTTTTTTTTTTTTTTTTTTTTGAGACAGAGTTTCACTCTTGTTGCCCAGGCTGGGATGCAATGGTGTGATCTCGGCTCGCTGCAGTCTCCACATCCCAGATTCAAGCAGTTCTCCTGCCTCAGCCTCCAAGTAACTGTGATTACAGGTGCCCACTGCCATGGCTGGCTAATTTTTGAATTTTTAGTAGAGACGGGGTTTCACCATGTTGGCCAGACTGGTCTCGAACTCCTGACCTCAGGTGATCTGCCTGCCTTGGCCTCCTAAAACGCTGGGATTATAGGCATGAACCACTGCACCTGGCCTAATTAAAATGCTTTAGTACAGTTGCTCAATCACAAAACCCAAACATAGCTCCTTGTTTTCTATATATATGGCATGACACCTTGTGCAAATTTACAGTAAAAGGAATCTGTGAGAGGAATTAGACATCTAGTCATCCACAGGAAAGAAGCAGGATCAATGGCTTATACTAACACAAAAACAGATTTTTCAACAATACATGTCAAGCCATTCCAAGGTAAAATGAATTACCTTTTGCTATGTTCAAGCAGTTGTTATCCAAACAATTACTGGGACATTTAGTGGGGGCAGATCTTCTAGAGATTAGAAATTTGGAATAGATTATGATAAAATTCCAATCATCTTTGAAGTTCTGTGATTTTATCGAAAGCCTCACGGAGACTGGGACACATAGACTGACTGAGATATTTTCTGTCTGATAATCTTATCAACCACCACCATACCTACCACAGCAAGAACTGGTTCAGCTTTACAAATTTTTCCTTATGTCTATTCATGTGGATTGCTGATATTCATAATGTTTTCTAATTGTTTATCCACCCCATTGTAAAGGGTCACTTTGACGATTTTACCTCTACTTTCCATATACCACTTCTGCCCTCTTCTGCATTAGTGAAAATAGGAGCATTTAGTCTTTTCATTCTTCTGCTGATTCCCTTGATTTTTGGCAGTCACCCTCAGTCACTTTTGCAAGTACCTTAAGTTTCCTGAAGGACACTTGGCCTTGTTCTGAGAGTTTTAAAGTCATTTAAATTAAGCTATCCCTTCCTCTTTCCTGCCATTTTGGCTTCGATCCTTTCTCATTGATGTTTACTTGGCCTCCCAATTTAGTAATTATTCTCCTCTCACAGTTAATGGGTGAACTCATATGCTCTATTCTCCAAAGAGTAGACAGAACAGTCTTTGTATACTAAAAGATGACAACTTCTCTTGCTTAAAGCCCTTCTGTGGCATCTCACAGAACTGAAATAAAATCTAGACTTATCACCATGGCCTATCTCATGCCTTGGCCATCTCTCCACACTCATTTCTACCATGGTCTTGTGGACAATTTACAACATTATCCACAATGTTCCAGCTACACTTAATTTTAAAGAAATGTACCTCATACTTACCAAACTTTCTCCCTCTACTAATATCATTGTTATTATAGCTCAGGCGTCCCCAAACTTTTTACACAGGGGGCCAGTTCACTGTCCCTCAGACCGTTGCAGGGCCGCCATATACTGTGCTCCTCTCACTGACCTCCAACGAAAGAGGTGCCCCTTCCTGAAGTGTGGCGGGGGGCCAGATAAACGGCCTCAGGGGGCCTCATGCGGCCCACGGGCTGTAGTCTGGGGACACCTGTTACAGCCTTAGCGTCTGATGTTCCCTCTTCCTGGAACACCCTTCATTCTATGGCTGGTTTCTTGTCAATTTTGGTCTTGTCTCAAATGACTTCACCTTGGAGTGACACTCCCTGGTCACTCTAAGCTTGTTTTCCTGCCACCTTCCTCTCCTAGAGCTGCTCTCTATGTCATCATCCTGATTCTTGTTCTTCGTGTCTTCTCTCACTATCCATATTGCCGTATTTTTAATGTATGTACTTGCTTATTTTCTGTTTCTCCCATCAGGCTGGTTCTCCTCAATGAAAGCAGCCTTGTTTGTTCGGTCCACTGCTGTGCTCCCATACCTAGATCAGTGCCAGGCAGATAGTAGGTCGTCTTCATAAAGAACCCAGATGCATGAATAAACGAATAAACAAGACAGTGAGAACAGTATAGAAACAGTGAAGAGCTGAGGCCAAAATCAATAGGGGAACAGAAAACCAAGAGTCAGAGAAATAGGAAGAGACCCAGCAAGATGCAATGCCATGGCAGGCCAGAGAAAAGAAGATCTTTAGACTTGAGGGACACTCCTTCTTAGAGGGGACTCCAGCTAAGTATGCTCAGAGATTGAGGAAGAGGATGGAGTACAGAGCCTAGGTATTCAAGGATCTTGAGGTGGAGGGAATGGCATGACTCCAGTGAAGGAAGAATGGAAGGGTAGCTATGCAGGGACATATTAGTTTTCTTGAGGAATGAAACACACTCTCCAAGACTATTGGGGAGGAATTAGAGACAGGAGTCCTGGACTTGGCACTGTAAGTAAAGATATGATGTGGGACCTTAAGACACACACACTGGTCTTGGTAAAGTAGGAAGGCATATTACCCATTGAATGTAGATGGTAGGAAGTTACAGGGGAGCCTGCAACGAGGGAGATGGTCTGAATCACTATGGGCACTTTTCTGAAGCATCAAAAAATGTCAAGAGAAGCTTTTCATGATCAACATATACCTGAACTAAGAGTCAAGATGCAAAAATCAGAGCCCAACCTAGGTAAGTCAAGTGACCTGCTTTTGCTATTTGAAGTGGATTTTGAAAAATAGTGCACACCCCATGGGACAAGGAAAGGGAAGAAATATGTTCATCTTAAACTGTGGCCAAAGAGTACATATGGAACTGAGAGATATCAGGTTCCTCCAAATTGTTCCCTCATCCTGACAGCCAGCTGTGTGGTGTTGTCACCAGTCAAGGGAAGTTTGGGATTAGAATAGGAAGCAGTGACACAATGATTAGATTATGAAATTCCGTCCTGGATTTGCACATGGCACAGACTTGGCAGGTAAGGTAGGGCCAAAAAAATGTTTGTTTAAATGAACTGAATGTCATCTGACTGATTAGGGAAGCCAACGCTTTCCTGACATCCAGAAGAGCCCTGCCCACCTCGATAACACCCTGTGCACAA